AGGCAGCAGTAAGAGTCATGCGATGTTTAACTCGATGTTATCTACGCAGTAATGCAAACCGGAATTTGCAAAGGCCAATTATGACATTTTATTGAGTGGCAGTTATACGGTGATAACTACCTCTATGAAACCAACGCCTGTCAGTGGAAGCCCACTTTTACCCTTTTTATTGAGTGACCATCATAGACAAGTGTGACTAGTATGTCAATGTACACTATCATACATATCTTATATTAGTTCCATGTGTATGTGTGCACTGTATTGCCTGTTGAAAACAGTGTACTTGTCCATACCAGTTGCCAAAATAAATGCAAACCTGCCAGGTTCTCACATTTGAAGACTTTCTATAACATTATCAAATCCAGGACCCATTCTCAGCCCCATGAGATATAAGCTAAATAGTACAAGCCTTTCAGGATCTATAGATGATTTTCCAGATTTTCCAGGTTTTCCAGGATGTGCCAACCCCTACCTGTGGCTTTGTTAACACGTTCCCTACTAACTAGAAATAACAGTATACTTTTGTATTGTACCTGTCAGAAGTTCTTTCCTAGCGACACGTATTTTGGCATAGGCACCTATATAGTGGAACTGCTTTTGCCTCATCAGTGAAACTTTACTCTCTCCCTCGTCATCCATTTGATAGCTCTCAATGTGTCCTGGAGGAAGGGAGTGAGCTTCGACAGGTGAGCATTCTCCATTGATTCCGTAAGATGCACTAGACCTGAAACGATAAGGATAATTAAATCACATTATCGCTGTTCTAAATGTGTTATACGGGATATTATAATCATTAGAAACTGTAATACTGAGTGGGGGAAGAAGTTCCTTTGTATTCGGGATGCCATTAACATTATACAGTTGTCCAATAACAGCAATTTACAGATATTGTGTCTGGATCTTTACCTTCAACCTAATGTGTATCCCACCATTTACTGCACTCTTGAAACTCAACATCAACTTACTTGGCAGCCGTTTCATTACTCTGTTTTTATGTGCTTTTCATCGCAACATCCACTTGTTCTTGCACTTCTTCTTTCACTTTGCAATGAATTTACATGAGCTTCCTTTGCACCACTTCTCTTACTTCCTTCTTAACCTCTTTACCATACTTTCATAACTACTTTTTTCTTCAGTACTTCATAATTTCATTCTTTCATACCTTCTTTAATAATATATATACCATACTTTGCACCTCTCCCTCTTCTCTTACTGTTAGCTACACTTCAGCATCTGCTCCCTCTGTTTCCTCTCTCTGTATAATTATGCGCGCACCTTTTGCCTCCGAGCAGATGGCTAACACTCCGTCATCGGACAGTAGCTTGAAGGCAGGTCTGACGCCGTATGTGTCACGGCCGATATGAACCTGCTTCTCTCTCTGTGTCTAAAATGCAGAAGGCGAATACACCGTCCAGCCTCGCCGCTGCGTATTCGGCCCCACCTTCATGGTAGAGGTGAAGAATCACCTCCCCATCACACTGCGTCTGAAAGTTGAAGCCGTGCTGGAAGCCGACCTAGACGAATGGAAACATCACCGAGAGTGAGAATCGAAGCTCTGCAAAGATTGTGAGCATAAACGAACTTCCGCTGACTGATACGCCGGTGTATATGAATTTTATTATCTTTCCATGTGGGCAACTGAGACAATGATGATATTCACACTGCTATTGTAACTAAACATTCAGAGCCAGTGATTATTTTGCTCACGATAGATGATATATCAGGGTTACTTTTTTTCTACTTTCCCCTTTTTTCTACTTTTCTCTACATTCTTCTCTCCGCATCCCCACCCATCCCCGGCCCATGTCTCCCCCACCGTGCCACCACCATCCACACCAACCCATCCACACCGACCCATCCACACCGACCCCTCCACAGCCTGCCCTGCCTCGCATGCGATCAACTCTCTCTCGTGTCGTTATTCCCTCCGCGTGCGTACGACCGCGCTCTTACCATGCTACTCAATACTGCATGTGAATGCTATCGATGCGATTTCTTTTTTTCTACATTTTTTTCTACAATGAAAAATAGTTATACCTTTTTGTGGTTGTAGATTTCTCCATTATAAATAAGCCACAGGTGTGGAAGCATGTTTACTCTCATAGGCTGCATTCCGTAGAGGTCATCAATAATAGCCAACGGTGAAAGCCAGGCAGCAATGCGGGAACAAATTGATTGTTTATGACTCGATGCGGAAGGCATCTGGTCCCCTGGTAGTGACTTTCAGGACGTTGGCTATTGCTTGGTGATCACCGCATAGCTCCCGAACAAGGCCCATATACCACACATGACGGCGATGAATATTGTGATGATTTAGTACCTATACAAAAAATAATGATATATTATGTTATGTTATAAATCTAATCTAAATCAGGCGCGTAGCCAGGGGGGGGGGCGGCGGTGGGGGCGGTCGCCCCCTCCAAAACGCCGGCCAAAAAGAGAGAGAGAGAAGAGAAAAAGTAAGAGGACGTAGGGAAGAAAAAGGAGCATACAAAGACACATGACAAAGACTGTGTTTAAAAAGATTATAAAAGAAACAACAGATATCTTTTAATTATTAAAAAATTTTTGTAAAATGAGCTTTGAGCCCAGCGCAGTTCGCCTTTCATCCAGCTCGCATAACATATCATGCGTACCCACACAATAATATGACTATCGAGCTCTACGGATATTTTGTGTACAGCGGCGTCGGCGTTCTCTACGTGCCTACTTGTGTATTCTTATTGTGTGTTCTGACCTATCACACAGTCCTGCTAGCAATTATGGAATCTTATGATTAAATGCCTGATTGTTTGGTGATTGGTTGATTTAAACGTCAATTATATTTATCACATGCATGATGCTCTTTTCTGAAGATATCCTAAAAAAAATCGAAAATCTTGTTTAACAATAAATCCCATTTATTTTGAACATTTAGAGGATTAAGAGTTGAGAACGGTACAACGAATGTCTTCTTTCTCTAATAATTTAATGAAACGTCAGAGCTTCGCGCTTCGCGCGGGAGGGGGAAACTCCCCCCTCCTGACACCACCCCCTATGCGAAGCGCGCCTCGCGCGCTCTTTTCAGTGATCCGCACCAGGGGCGTAAATCCCGGGGGATGGGGGATGCATCCCCCCACTCTTGAAGGAAGGGGGGGATGGCCTGTACAAATACCCCCCTCCTAAGATTTAAAAAAAAGAAAGAAAGAAAGAAGAAGAAGGAAAAAGAAAGAAATGTGATTGTTTCAATTTCAGCATAATGCATGAGAAATGAGTTTTTTAAATGTCTGTAACTGCATTTACTGTAGTCGCATAACTGTATAGCCAACAGTACAATTCAGTGTTAATCATGGCTATTGCATGGTATGCAAGACAGACTTTCAAGTGTGGCCACGGAGGAAGGAGTGGACTGCCAGAGGCATATAGTCTCTCAAAAGTACAAGTGCTATGCGGGTGCAGTGGATCTACACCCAATATATCAAGCTTCTTTGCGGCAGATAGAGAATTGTCTGTCTTGACGCAGAAGTGAGATTTACGGATTATTTAATTGAACACAATGTGCCTTTGAGGGCGGCAGACCATGGCAAATGAACTCTTCAGAAAATGTTTCCAGACTCACAAATAGCCAAAAAGTATAGTTGCAAACATACAAAACACCCGTGAAATTGTGGAGAAATTGCATTCTTACGTACATGTATTATTACTATAGTAACCTAACTGTGTACGCTCTCTGAAAAGTAATGAAAAGTCTAGGGTTGAGATAGTGCCATCAGACATGAGAATATGGCCCACAGTATGCCTCAGATTGCAGGAGAATGGCTTAAATATTTCAAAATTCTTCTGGGGGGCATGCCCCAGACCCCCTAGCAACTGACATGCCTACGGCACGTGCAAACGTACGGTTGTCAAATTTGGCTATGTGCGTGCATGTATGTATGCATGTATAAATATATGTACGTGTTGTTGTGTGTGTGTGTGTGTGTGTGTGTGATGTGTGTGTGTGTGTGTGCAGCGTGTGTGTGTGTGGTGTGTGTGTTGGTGTGCGTGTGTGGTGTGTGCGTGTGTGGTGGGTAACTTTGTTGTTTGTTCGTTTGTGTGTGTATGTGTGTGTGTGTTGTGTGTTGTGTGCTGTGTGTGGTGTGTGTGTGTGTGATGTGTGTGTGTGTGTGTGTGTGTATGTTCGTCGCGTGCGCGATCGCGCGCGTGTGCGTAAATTAATTGTGGGCTTGTGCTCGTGCTAGTATGTGATGGCATATCGCCGATCATCCCCCCACTCCTCGGTACGGATTTTACGCCCTGATTCTCACCACTTCACGTAGCTCATTGCCGCCCCCCTCCAAAATAAAATCCTAGCTACGCGCCTGATCTAAATCATGTTGTATTGTAAATTAAACTATGATGTATACGTGTACGGAAATGTGTAACAACAAATCAAACTAAACTAAACCAAACTAAAGTATAGACTACTTACATGCGTGGATACCGGTAAACTCACTCTCCTGGACAGTGCACGCGTCGGGAGCTACGAGAACAACGTGGATATAGGCCCATAGGCCGTGCTCTACTAAATGGAGTGTCTAGGGGCGGATCCAGTGCTGAGGCTAGACAGTATTTTTTCAGATTTTAAGGGCACATCCTCCCAAAAGGGCACACCACCCCACAGTGAGCGCCGCCAGGCGCGAAGCACATGGCGGGAGGTCTGGGGGGCCTCCCCCAGGAAATTTCAAAATTTCAAGGGTCCCTGGCGCACAAAAAATGAGCACCATTGGCACACATTCAGTCAAGCAGCAATAGCTAAAAACCATATGGAATTTTATTTCTCCTTCATTTTGCCTGCCGGCTTGCATACCAGCAATTAATGCAGAATGATTCAGCACTTTCTTTTTCAGAATAAAAGCTTAGTTTTGTTACCATGTAAAATTCGATTTCCTTCAAGTCCTGTCAATGATCAGAAGAAAGAAAACAAATAAAGAATATAGCACAAATTCATCAAATTGATTTTCTGTATTTTTGTATTTTCTGTAAATTTCGAAGGGCACTTTGAAATCCTGAGAGACATGATACATGATTGCGTGGCTCCTCAGCCATGGAGCCGGCCCTGGATGTCACCATAGTGTCACGTAGTCCAGTAGCAGTGCACACGGAGCCCACTCGGTCGCGGGCCAAAAAAATATATCACCTCAAAATGAAAATTGATAACACCTCACGCTCAACTTTAGTTGGCATTCAAGAAGCGTGCATGGGGTGCATCCTCCGATAAGAAGTGGGTCACATGTACCATTCCGGACTCATTCTGCATCAGTCCGGACCCACGCTGCGTGCGTGTGTATGTGTGTGTGGTGCTGTTGTGCGTGTGGGTTGCAGTGTGTGTGTGTGTGAGTGTTGTGTGTGTCGTGTGCTGGGGTGTGTGTCTGTGCTGTGTGTGTTGTGTGCTGTGTGTGTGTGTGTGTGTGTGTGTGTGCGTGCTGTGTGTGTGTGTGCGTGCTTTGTTGCGTGCAAGTACGTGCGGTGTGTGCGCCGCGGTGTGTTTTCTGTGCGCGTACGTGCGTGTATGTGTAGTGGTGCTGCGCGCGTGCGTCGCGCACGTGCGGGGTATGCGTTTTTTGCGTGGTTGTGTCGGTGTATTGGGCGGGTGGGGAGTCGTGCGTGCGTGTATGTGGTGTGTAATCTGTGCGTGCGTGCTGTTGCGTTTTTGCGTGTGGTTGTGTGTGTGTGTTGGCTGTGTCTCGTGCGTGTGCGGCGTAGCAGTGCGTGCGTGCGTGCGCATGGCGTTTTTACGTGGTTGGTGTGTGCGGTGTCTTGTGTGCGGCATGTGTTTCTTTGTACGTGCGTGTGCATGTGTTGTGTGGTGTGTATGCGCGTGGGCTGCGTGCGCACGTGCGTTAATGCGCTGGTTTTGTGTGCGTGTGTTTTTGTGCGCGTAGCGCGTGTGTGCGCCCGTGCGACTTGTGTGCGCCCGTGCGTGTGTGTGCGCGCGTGCGTGTGGTGGCGCGTTGCGTTTCTGTGTGCGTCGTGCGCGCGGTGCAGGGCCGGACTAAGCGATGTGGGGGGCCCGGGGCACGCAATTGTGTGGGGCCCCTATAGTCTGTTATTTTTTCTGCACTTTCATGCTTGCAAATTCAGACAGTATTTTATCGTGTTTCACGAATTTAAAATGTCAGCTTTCGATAGCGAGAAATACTGAGCGTTTACCAGTCTCTGTTGGCTCATCGTGGTTCTCATGTGATTTTTAATCAACTTGGAGTTTAAAAAAATGACCTTTCACCGCTACAATTCGAGACCATCAATGAGAGATAGATTCTCAGAGCATTTCGGTATTAGGGAAAGTGTCCTTCAGCTGAACAGCAAAATTCAGTCATCGAGAAACAGCATGGGAACGCATTCACTTTAAACGTTACATGCTAAGAATTTTGTGGATCACAATTACGCAGTTTTGGTAAATTTTTAGCGATACTCTAAATGTGGGGGGCCCCAAATGTGGGGGGCCCGCGGGCACGTGCCCCGTTTGCCCCGCCCTTAATCCGCTAATGTGCGCGCGGCGTGTGTGTGCTGTGCGTGTTGTTGTGTTGTGTGTATGTGCGTTTTTGCGTGGTTGTGTACCTTTTAGTGTTTAGACAGCATATGGTAAATTACCAAAAGCCAGGCAGCGAAACGCAGAAAAATCTACCGGAAGGCATTCAAAGACAATGAAAAATTTAAGGAAAGATAGGCGGAGAAATCAGTAAAAATAACATATAGTTTCTATACGTAAATCGTGGTAAATACATTAAAAGCCGCATTATTTTTATTGAAAATCCCTATTTACTTATAAAACATCCAAGAGATGGCGCTGTGGCATGTAAACATTGGCTCCCGTATTTGAGTACCTTATTATTATTATTATTATTATTATTATTATTATTAGTGTAAGGAGCGGAGCTCGGACCGGACGATGGATAAAACCCGGCCCGGACCACGAGGTCAGAGTCCGGGTTTTATGCAGGTTTTCCGGGTCGGGTCCGGGTCCGGGTTTTATTCACACCCATCTTGTGGTAGCGTGGCACGTGTACACGTAGTACTCGTAGTCGTAGTCGTAGCCCCCGACGCGTGCACTGTTCAGGAGACATAGAGTGAGTTTACCGGTATCCACGCATGTAAGCAGTCTATACTTTAGTTTGGTTTAGTTTAGTTTTATTTGTTGCTAAACATTTCCGTACACGTATACATCATACTCATAGTTTAATTTACAATACTGTATACTTTTTATTTTTTATTAGGCAATTATCCATCATATATTATATGATACTAATACTATCTATACATTGCATACTTTTACAATAAAAATTTGAATTCATAAAATTGGATAATTACCAAGGATATATACACAAAAAGCATGACTAGCACACTTATTTACATTGGGGTCCTTGTTTTGCTGAATCTACATGAGCATGATTTAGATTAGATTATAAATATAACATAACATAATATATCATTATTTCTTGTATAGCTTATAGGTACTAAATCATCACAATATTCATCGCCGTCATGTGTGGTATATGGGCCTTGTTCGGGAGCTATGCGGTGATCACCAAGCAAATAGCCAACGTCCTGAAAGTCAGTTACAGGGGACCAGATGCCTTCCGCATCGAGTCAAACAATCACTTGTTCCCGCACTGCTGCCTGGCGTTTCACCGCTTGGCTATTGTTGATGACCTCTACGGAATGCAGCCTATGAGAGTAAACATGCTTCCACACCTGTGGCTCATTTATAATGGAGAAATCTATAACCACAAAAGGGTACATCCATTTTTCATTCTATTGTAGAAAAAAAGAGACCGTGATATATCATCTATTGTGAGCAAAATAATCACTGGCTCTGAATGTTTAGTTACAATAGCAGTGTGAATATCATAATTGTCTTAGTTGCCCACATGGAAAGATAATAAAATTCATATACATCGGTGTATCAGTCAGCGGAAATTCGTTCATGCTCACAATCTTTGCAGAGCTTCGATTCTCACTCTCGGTGATGTTTGCATTCGTCTAGGTTGGCTTCCAGCACGGCTTCAACTTTCAGACGCAGAGTGATGGGGAGGTGATTCTTCACCTCTACCATGAGGGTGGGGCTGAATACGCAGCGGCGAGGCTGGACGGTGTATTTGCCTTCTGCATTTTAGACACAGAGAAGAAGCAGGTTCACATCGGCCGTGACACATACGGCGTCAGACCTGCCTTCAAGCTACTGTCCGATAACGGAGTGTTAGCCATCTGCTCGGAGGCAAAAGGTGCGCGCATAATTATACAGAGAGAGGAAACAGAGGGAGCAGATGCTGAAGTATAGCTAACAGTAAGAGAAGAGGGAGAGGTGCACAGTATGGTAAGAATATTAAAGAAGGTATGAAAGAATGAAATTATGAAGTATGGTAACGAGGTTAAGAAGGAAGTAAGAGAAGTGGTGCAAAGGAAGCTCATGTTAAAATTCATTGCAAAGTGAAAGGAGAAGTGCAAGAAAATGTTGATGTTGTGATGAAGAGCACATAAAAACAGAGTAATAAAACGGATACCAAGTAAGTTGATGTTGAGTTTCAGAGTGCAGTAAATGGTGGGATACACATTAGGTTGAAGGTAAAGATCCAGACACAATATCTGTAAATTGCTGTTATTGGACAACTGCATGTATAATGTTAATGGCATCCCGAATACTAGTGATGTCATGATCATCGATTATACTCGATCATCGGTTGAACAGTGGCTCGAACCAAGCGCTTGGTTATCAAAATCCATAATCGATTTCATCAAGAAAAAAAAATTCAAAAAAAAAAATCAAAAAAGTGATGAGAATCAGAGATATCATCACTACTATACAAGTTATCCTTTATTAACATACATGTATTCTACACGCATTAGGAAACAGTGCAAAACAAACAGTAAACAGGACTAAACAGAGTACATACATGCACACACGTACATGCACACGACGTTACGGCACAGGCAGGCATGCAACACCCCGAGTAACGCATTGTAACCGATCATCGTTACTTGGGTCCAACGATGATCGATTACGAAATTACAACCGATTAACAACACTACCGAATACAACGGGACTTCTTCCCCCACTCAATATTACAGCTTCTAGTGATTATAATATCCGTATAACACATTTAGAACAGCGATATGTGATTTAATTATTCCCTTATCGTTTCGCAGGTCTAGTGCATCTTACGGAATCAATGGAGAATGCTGCACCTGTCGAAGCCTCACTCCCTTCCCTCCAGGACACATTGAGAGCTATCAAATGGATGACGAGCGGAGAGAGTAAAGTTACACTGATAGAGCAAAAGCAGTTCCAACGATATAGGTGCTATGCCCAAATACGTGTCGGCTGGGGAAAGAACTTCTGGCAGGTAACATACAAAAGTATACTGTTATTTCTAGTTTAGTAGTGGAACGTGTTAACAAAGCACAGGTAGGTTTAGGCACAGTCCTGGAAAACCTGGAAAATTCTGGAAAATCATCTATGATCCTGAAAGGCCTTGTACTATTTGGGTTATAGTCTGGGCAGGCTGAGAAATGGGTCCTGGATTTGCTAATTTATAGAAAAGTCTTCAGTGTGAGAACCTGGCAGGTTTGCATTTATTTTGGCAACTGGTATGGACAAGTACACCTGTTTCAACAGGCAATACAGTGCACACATACAATGAACGGTATAGGATATGTATGATAGTGATACATTGAATACTAGTCACACTTGTCTATGATGGTCACTCAATAAAAGGGTAAAAGTGGGCTTTACTGACAGGCGTTGGTTTCATAGAGGTGGTATCACGTATAACTACGCACTCAATAGAATTAATTGTCTAATTGGCCTTGCAAATCCGTGTTTGCATTTACTGGCGAGTAACACTGAGTTAAACATTCGCAGTGACTCTTACTGCTGCTGTGAAGAAGAGAATGATGTCTGATCGGCGAATTGGCTGCTTACTATCAGGTACTAGAATATTGAACCACATCTTCTAGTTTCTCACAACCATGAACCTACTACTTGTTATGTGTGATATGTCAATGTTCAACCTCTTGAAAAGTTGCATTTGGACTCTTGACTAACATTTGAAGCTTGACCATTTTTATATACTATCATACCTTTGATTAAATTATAAAAAAACCACTTTAAAATATTGTTTAGCTTTCTGGATTGTCACTTGGATGACAATTCTATTACCTTATAAAATTCACTCGTCGGCATTTCTGTTGGTCCCTTATGTGTTTGTTATACTCTTTGATCTTTTATATTAAAGATGTGTGTTTTCGTTTGTCTTCGCAACTGGTATTTCTATCCATGTGCTGTACAGGCGGACTTGACTCCAGTCTCATTGCTGCATTGGCTGTTAATGCAGCAAAGAATGAGTTTGTAAGCTACCCGATACAGACATTTTCAATTGGTATGGAGGGAAGTCCTGATCTGGCAGCTGCTCAAAAGGTTAGCTAGCTGAACGAACGGATGAAAATATTACATGCTTTTATATAATAGCTTTGATCTCACTGGATTAAAAAAAGCAGATCATATTTGCTATGACTCTCATTAGCACATGGGCCATTACTTTGTGACTGCTGTGGAGTGAAATTTCTCAAACTATACAAAGTCGTGGAGAAGGAAAACAATTGTTTTCGCCGGGGGGGGGGGGGGAGCACTCCCATTGTTAAAGGTACGCTGCGCCGACGGCCGTGGACAGGGTATATTTTTCCAAGCATCATTATTCGCACAGGGTATAGTTTCGAACTATCAATAATTGGGGCACAGGGTTAGTCTAGAATACCCACCTCATCAAGCTGCATAATCTGGGCGCTAATATTGGCAAAACAATATTGGGGTCAAATATCACCAGGCATCAATTAATATTCGCACCAATATCGGCCCAATATTATTGGCAAAATCAATGATTGGGCCAATATCAGCCAGGCGGCGATATTGGAGTCGCAATATCTGCCTATATTGACAGTGTAGGACTAGGGGACATAGAGCACAGTGGTGAATATTGCAACAGGGTATACCTTGTTAAGCGTGCAGTATAATGGCACATGGCGTATTTCTAAGCGGCGCCGCGAACAGCTGGTTTGCGCACGGCGGTCAGGTTTCAAGGTCGCCCGAAGGCAACCCCCTATCAGTTCGACGGCGAGTGCCCACCAAGTGTTTTCGTCATTCTGATTATCTTCGTTTGAGTTAAAATTAGGTGTTACAATCTACGAAACTCTAGGTGGCTGATCACATAGGCAGTGAGCATCACCGAAGCCGTCCTGGGTGCTTGCACACCTGAACGAAGGAGTTGCCACACTTGCAAGACGTCATTTATCACCGTTGAGTTCATACGATATCACGACGATAGGCAATCTGCTTGGTAAGAATCAGAGCCTACATACTAATAGCCACATATATGTGGGCTTTTGAAATTAGAGAGCACATACCCACGCAGTACGTCTTGGCATGAAAGACTATCTAGTGCAGAATATCCTCACTTTAGTAATGCATAATACGCTCTGGCTGTACGCCTGAGAAAAATATACTGGGGGGGGGGCAAATATGTTGTGAATCCAAGCTGAATAATACAGGTGGACATATACTGCCCAGGCCCACGGTTGATATGTATGGTAAGCTCCTGTATGGTCTTTAAGGCAAGTTTGGTTTTTCTCAGATGCAGCTGCTTAAGTTGTACTTTAATTTTCTTAGGCTAATTTACATTTATTAAGTTTTTGGATTATATAATTTCTCCAAACTTTACCAAGCTGAGGCCAGCAAACGTGCCCTCCCCTTTGCTTCCAGAATGCTAGCAGAGCCCTATCTTTCGTGTTCTCTAGCATCAAGCACAACACAGTTTGCCAGTTCAGGAAGATTTTGCCCCCTCCCACTAGATATATTTAAGGTTTCTGCCTTCTTTGCAATAAGACACTATTGTTTATATTAAAATTCGATATTATAAGCAAGGAGGTCTTTTTCAAAGAGTTTCTGAAGTAATTTTTTTGCTAATTTTTATGTTTATAGGTAATGTACTAGTTAGCAAGTAGCATTTCTGGAGAACTACAGGACACTGTGTTGTGCATTCTCGGGTGAAGGGCGATGAGCTGTGCCAGGTCGATACATATATTTCCACAATGTGAGCATTACAGCACCCATCACAGGAGAAATCGTGTTATAGCACACAAAGCTGTAGGCATCATTATTGTAATTTCTTGACAAGTATCTAATACGTCGTACGCGCGATAGGCGTTTTGCATGTCACACTTGCCGATCCATAATTTAGCCAGAAATGTACTTTAAATAAATGCGATTCATGGTATGCAAGTGCTATTGAAAGATATTAATAGATTTTTTTTACTCAGCGCCCGCATTTCAGCAAGAAGAGGGCGATAAGGAGTAGCACACGACTTCTTCAGTGATCTTTACTATGTTTGACAACCTAAGAGCAGACGGCAACCAATCTGCGGACTGATGCGGTAGCTTGTGGCAAAGTCGTTGTTTGCTTAAACTCTCTAAGAAGATGAGTTTGTTTAGCCCTATTTTTAATTTAGAAAAGTCTATGGTTTATAGAATGCTAAATTTAATCAGTCAGGTAATGCATAAAATGTTATTCAGCCACACTTCTGTAGCCTCTTGCCGCTGCGAGCTGTATTTGCCTTATTTATACTACTTGTACCAGCACATTGACCATAAGGCTACCGCATATTGACTTCATGACAGCTACCATGAATTTAACTACACGAATATTTGTAGCCTTGCTGACCGAGCGCCTCGTGTGAATTCCATGCGCTCGGGCTTTGTCGATTCAGAGTTGGACGTTGGCGGTGCCCTTCTGCGACCACTCAGTTCTCTGCCTACTACCTATCGGTGCTAGCCTCCGAGCGTCAGCCGGGCGACATGGGTGGAGAAGTAGCCGTTCTTCAGAAAGGCCTTTCTCCGGCATGGGTCTCATTCGCCGGGAGGATATCCTGTTGGCGGCGCGAAGGAAGGCGTTCAGCGATGGCGTCTCGTAAGGAGAAGGCATACTTGGTTGAGACATTTGCAAAAGGCACCTTTGAGAGCAAATGGTGTGTACTGTGTTGTGCATGCCATGTGTGTGTACGTGTTTCTTTCTCTCTCTCTCTCTCGATACTGATCTCTCTCTCTCTCTCTCTTTCACTCCTAATTCTCTCTACTCTCCTCTGCGCATCTGTGGTGCTGTGTTTGTGTAACACGTGCGGTGCGTGCGTAGCGCGTTGGCGTACGTGAGTGTGTGTTGTGTGTGGTGTGTGTGTGTGTGTTAGTGTGCGTTGCGTCAGCGTGGCTGTGTGTTGTACGTGTTTCTGTGCTGTGTGTGGTGTGTAGTATGCGTGCGTGGCGTGACGTGCCCGTGCGTGTAGTGTGTTGTCTCTGTGTTGTCGTGGTGTGTGCACGTGCGCGTAGTGTGTGTGCACTGTGCGCGTGTGGGTGCAGCGCGCGCATTGTGTTGTGCGAACGTGGCGCGTTGTGTCGTGTGCGTCATAGTGTGTGTGCGCTATTCTTGTTATGCGGCAATCGTATTGGTCCGCGTGTTTGTATTTGTGCCATGTGGCGTGTGCGTGTGCGTGCATGCATGTGCGTGTGCGTGCATGAATGTGCATGCTTATAATCACGAGGATGATTGACCTTTTTTCAATGGTTATTCGTATCACCGCATAAATTTATAACCAACACTTGACTTAAAAACCTAAGATAACATTCAGAATATCTCTTGATCTTTGGAACTGGTGATACAGTCCTTGGTATTACATCTAACTCGCATTTCTGGGCCTACGTGTCAAATTATATATTCATATATAATATATATATAATTTAATGTATTACAAATCAAGGTGATGTTATTGTTTTAGGTTTCTGATAAAGAGATGGCAGAAGCTGCTGAGAAGTATCCACTAAACACCCCCACCACAAAGGAGGCTTGTTACTATCGACAAATATTTGAGAGTTATTATCCTGATCATGGCGACTGGATCTCTTACATGTGGATGCCAAAGTGGACTGAGGCAACTGACCCATCTGCGCGCACCCTGCGACATTATAAGTCATGAGCACAGTACAGAGAGAAAGATAGATATAGAGAGATGGAGAGAACGAAAGAGGGAGAGAGAGAGATAGGGAGATAGAGGGATGCTTTCTCGTTTGCTAAATTGCCGGGGAATGGCTATGGACATTGGTCCCAAGGACAAAATTTATGATATAGTTTTATATGCCTGTTAGAATATATCTGTGTATGCCACCTGACTAAAATCACGCGTTATATTTACAGAATTCTCTGTCGGTTCACATGTGAGTCTATAAGGTAACGCAAGTGTAGAAGTGTAGTGTAGACTGGAATTTTATCACTTAAGCTCGGCGCACACGTGAGTTATTTTACTCAAGTAAAATGACGATTGAGTCATTTTACTCACGTGTGCGGTGGATTTTCGTTGAGTAATTTGACGCATGCGTTATTTTACTCACGTGTGCTGCGGATTTTCGTTGAGTAATTTGACTCATGCGTCATTTTACTTGTGTAAAATAACTCACGTGTGCGCCGGGCTTTATTAGTAATCCGATTTGTATGTCACCTGACTAAAATTGCGCGTTATATTTGCAGAATTCTATGTCGGTTCAGATGTGAGTGGTAACGCAAGTGTAGAAGTGCATTTAGACTGGAATTCTATTCGGTTTGTATTCCAGTTTTATGGTTAAAAATACACCATGTACGTGCACAGCATACTGTGTGCATCGATATGCGCGTACTTATTCTGTGTACTGTTATTAGGAAGTTATTATTCTGTCCATGGTGTTGTTACTTCGCTTTCCAGTCTGAATATGTACGTTCACTGTTCACCATCGCTGTCATCTGGTCAGCCTTGCTGGATCCTGCCGGGTGAACAATGCCACACTAACTATTATTATCAGCAGTAAGTTAAAAACAAATTGTTATTTTATTGCTCCTGATATAATTTGTTGTCGTCTGTTGTTATCTGACCATTCCTGAAATTAGGAGCATCAATTTGCATTTCAGTATAGATGTGCAAAAAGAAAAGCTCACTGAAACGATATAATAACGTTGTTGAAATGTGAGGTATGTCTATACCTTATGTTATTTTAAGATACTATGTCCACATGAATCACTTGCTCTGATAAAAAAAAAATCCTTATATATATCTATCTATATAATCTTTATACGCAAAAGTGAAATAAAATCGAGTGAGTGGGAAAATAAGTACGTTTCAATATTCTGCTCTATATCGTTAGAGCGTGTATTTCTTCACACGCACGTCCGCTCGCACGCACGCACGTACTTACACACACATACTCACGAGTAAGTTTGCATGTGTGTGTGTGTGTTTGTGCGTGTGAGTTAATAGTGCTAGTCATGTGTTAGGTTTCGCCGGGCTTTTTTTGATGAATTATTGCCTTTGCCTTAATGGAAAGATATAACCCCATGCACGCTTGCCAGTAAATACGTAGGCAGCTATTCTGCCAACAGACTTCGCTGCACATCCTCGCCAAGACGCCTCGTAATTCACGGCGGGAAGTCGCACGCTTCCCGGCGGCTCTTCGCCCCACACGTCGGTGAAGCTCTAGAGCCGCTCCAGCCTCCCCCCATCCCTCTCACTTCCCTCATCCTACTCCCAGCCCTTACCCATCCTCTCCCAGCTTCCTCATTTTCTCCCAGCCCCCCACATCTTCTCCCAGCATCCACATCCTCTCCCAGCTTCCCCATCCTCTCTCCCAAGCTCTCCCCATCCTCTCACAGTCACCCACCAATCTTCTCCCAGCCTCCCCATCCTCTCCCAGCTTCCCCATCCTCTCCCAGCATCCCCATCCTCTCCCAGCTTCCCCATCCTCTCCCAGCCCCCCACATCCTCTCCTCAAAGAACACGACAGTAATTACAATTGTTTGGCGGAGGTAAGGAAAAATACGAGTATTTATGATACAAATTCATTTATTTAACGTTCTTTATGTTGTAACGTTATCTATCTAATGTATTTGAAAGGATACATCGATTCATCATAAAACAAATTTTCTCCTATATATTGTCATGAAATTTAATGAAATGTTTG